AGTTCTACATGAAAAATACACTAACAGTATCAAGAAGTGCAGAAATGAGGCTGCTACCTCCCAGGATTTCTTCTCTATCAATGTAAAGAATATTTGAATTGTTTAGGGGTGTGTGTGTGTGTGTGTGTGTGTGTGTGTGTGTGTTTTGAAAGATCGTCTGTCCCTTTCTGATGATACCAGAGCCTGGAATCCCTAAGTCCAACCATCCTCATCTCTGGAATCCCCCCTGCCCCAGCCTTTGTGTGACCTGGGCCCTTGCTGGAGAAACCTCAGGAGGGCTGATCATTCTTGCCCCTCTTCCTCTGTGCTTGGTACCAACTGCAAACCAAGCACAGGGGCAAATAGAGATAAAAACACCCCTTGAGTTGCAGGCAAAGCTAGGTGAAAGCATGTGACTTAGATCCCGTTGAGGCTGTACCTGGAGATGTACCTGAATTAAAATGAGGTGTGCAGAGCTGCACTCCCCCTCTATGCACACTGGCTGGCTTCCCACTACTGTGTTCCCTATCGTCATCCAGATTCAGAACAGAAGAGCCACTGTGGCCTCAGCTGTACCCCTGACAGCAATTTCAAGTCCCAAGGATCAGATTACCCACTCCTCATGACCTCAGCAGCAGGTGGCATGAGAGAGCTGATGCCACCTTCCTGTTAGTGAAAATAGGGCCTGGGTCTGCAATGTCTGGCTTGCCAGCCTCCCTCTCCTACCTGACTTCACCCGTCATGTGTGTGCATTTCTCTGGCCCCTGGCTGTCTGAAATCATCTGTCTGAAACACAAAACTCATCCCACCCCTCCCCTGCTTTCCAGTCCAGCAGATGAGCCTGGCTTTAAGCTCCTTCCTGAGCCACCTGTCTCCTAAGATGCACTGGCCACATCCCACAGTGGTCAGGGCCATTCTCTCAGCCTGGAACCTTTGCCTATAGTCCATGCCCCAGCTATCCTGTTCAGCTGTCCTCCTTCTCCGTGACCAAATCATCTCCTTTTGTTTTGTGTCTACTTTATTCCTTGTTGCAGCACTTTGTGCATGCGGTGCTGGAGATTGAACCCAGTACCTCACGCATGCCAGGCAGACACTCTGCCACTGAGCCACATCCCCAGCCCAGCTCGCTTTCACTGCTGGCCTACTTCTTCATCTCTCCAACTAGATTCATGAGAGCGCGCTTCACCTTTGGCACATGGGAGGTACTCATTGTTGGATGCACACAGGATGCGTCTTTTTTTTTTTTTTAAAGCAGTACACTTTATATTGAATCCATCTAAAAGGAGATTGTCAACTTTTCATTTTTAATTCTCTCGGAAATAAATATTTCTTAATGTAATTTTTCACTGCTTTAAAGATTGCCTTACGATAGTCATGAGGTTTCTTGTTATTGTCTGTGGAGTCAAGTAAAATAATGGCTCTTGCCTCCTCTGGGCCCCTCCAAGGTAAGCTACAAGTTTTTAACCTGGTGCTTTGACTGCAGATAAAAGTTTTACCTTAGCTGAGATCTTACCCACCTTGTGACAGAATCTAATAGGAGGATATGGGCTGTGGTCCAGGTTTGCACTGATAATTAGCAATGGATGGGAGTTTCGTTAAGTATAAGGAAAGGGCAAATGAATCTATCTTTACATTGGCTATAAATGGAATTTCCCCATTATTAAATCTACTTTTTTAAGCTATAGAGATCTCCACTTTGAAGTTTTGACTCACTAATATTGGGGTAAGAATGGCTGTGATTCATCACTAGGGACTTAAAGGAGAGGAAGGATGCTGGAGGTGTTTCTCTTTCATCCAGGCCTAACAGTATTCACCGGTTCAGGGCCTGTGGTCTAGGAGGTTTCTGTAGAGCTCATCCCCAGAGGTTACCGCGACAAAGGTCATGTTCCAAGCTCAGTGTCCCACGTGCCATGCCACATCCTTTGATCACATTAGAAAGACCAGACGTGTCTGTTTCCAAAATTATTATCTCTGAACAAAGAATGGAAATGTCTTCTAAGCAGGTTTTGTCTGGAAGAAGAGTTTCAGAGACTAGCAAGGGGAGGAAAAAAGCCCCAACTCCCTTTCTATTTCAATAAACAAGTTAATAAAGAAGATTTTTTTTAATCTGTAGCAGTTAGAAGCACCTGTCTGGTGACGTCTCTTTTTGTCTCCTCCGGAGGGGAGCATGTTTAAGCTTCTTACTAGCTATCTTCCTATAGTTGAAGTAATTGGTTGTATAAACTGCTAAACCTTTAAATACTTCTTTACAAAATTATTTAGCTCTAGCATGCTAGACAGTTTAAAAAGGTTGGTGTCTAAAGGAGCCGTGTGGGTATAAGATGAAACTGTGCACATTCCTACAAAACGTTCTATGAGTCTCAGCATTTCAGTAAATTCTAAGGAGGTTCGTGATGAACAGTAGTATCAAGACAATACAATGACTGTTTTTAGGAATGACCCTGTATGTTGACAATCCTAACACCATTCCTTTTCTTCTTGCAGCAAGACTTTGCACTTCCAAAACATTATTTCACACTTACACAGGCAGTTGACTCTTTAAATTAGCGTATTCAAGGAACAGTCTTTCGCATTGGAAAGATCTAGTGGCTCTTTTGATGGCCTGGAGTGGCACTTGGTCAACCAGACACTGCAAAATCTTTATTTACACTGGTATAGGAATTTTGTGTAAGTTAAATGATACTACATTTTGTTCTTCCAGTCAATTCATGCCATACCTCCCTCTGTGTCCCCCAGACCATCGCAATGTAACCTCTGAATTCTGATGTGATGCATAAGCTTTCAATCCACAAAGAGGCAACTTTAAATCTTACCTCTGAAAAATACAATCTGAAAAGTGTTACTTAAATCTCTGCATCTCACTGATCTCAGATTTCTCAGCTGTAAAATGAGGAGTAAATGACTCCCCTCACCCTTAAGAGGTTACATGAAAATATGTGTATAAAAGCTTTTACACAGTAAAAAAAAAAAATCAATAAGCATTTTTACCAAAATAATGAATTAGTGAAGAGCTATTGGAGGCAAATGAATCTTAGCTATAATGACAGGCAAATAGAAATTTCAAAAAGCTATGGGTTCTTACTAGAGTGTGAGAAAATGAGAATTGCTGTGGAGATTTGCTGGAGTGAACCCGTTTTAAGGAAACTTTATTGGAATCTAGTTTTTAGTCCTAGGCAATAGGTGAGTCTCTAAACAATTCCCTTAGTTTGCCCTAAAAGATTTTATATGATGGGAGAAGGAAGATAAATACTATTGTAATCTTTGATATATTTGCTGTTTTTAACCTTACATTATGACTTCCTCACATAGCTACTATCTTAGCTTTTCATATTTTTTATTCCACAGCCCTTGTAGCCTGAATATATAAAAGACACTGAAACATTAGTGACATAAATATTTATATTACCAAATGTAGACTGGTGTATGGTATCCTGCCAGTTGAGGTGAAGAACATTTATTTCCATGCAGAACTGCAAGCTACAGGACCCATGGCAATGAATTTGATTTGTCTGTGCGAAGGCATTGATCTAGTGTCAGCTCTGTGACTGACTTGTTCTGTGGTCATAGGCAAGTACTTTTATTTCTTTGGGCTTTGATTTCTTCCTCTGCAGTTGAGTTCAAAATAGCAAAAGTGTGCTGAAGTATTGTGTCCCTTCCAAAACCCTGTTATAAGAGGGGAGCTAGACCAGAGTATTCCAAATTATAACATGGCAGATGCACTGACAAAGACAAATGCCAAAGAAAATTAATGCAAGGCACACAGACGAGGATATATTTTAATCTGAAAAATAGATGATTAGTGCAGCATAGTAGAAGAGGAAATGCTTGCATCGAAATTTGCATGGAGATAGCAGTCAGGCACACAAAGCATTGACAGGGTAGAGGTAGTAGAAAGAGCACTAGGGCATTCTAGGAGGAGGAATAGATTATGCAAACAGTAAAAAGGCATGATGTGTTCCAGTGAAATTATGAACAGGCCTGTTAGGTGGAGAGCTTCATGTGTGTGAGGTTGATCATGGTTTTATCCACTGTGTATGGACAGAGCTGCAGCCCCCAGAATAAAAAGTATTTCTTGATGTCCAATAAACCAATGGATAATAGTATAAGTAAACTGGCACAAAGCAAAATTATGTTTTTCTCTTTCAATCCAAGCTCCACAAATTCAGATAGTATGCTATTTTGAATATTGGTCTTATTTCTCCAACTAGATTTCAAGCTCGTCACCAGCAAAAATTACTTGGAAGCCTTCAGTAGACACTTGACAGTTGAATACTTGATTCAAGCCTGAAGCATTGTGTGAAACCCTTGTAGACGGTCTGCCTTGGCACTTCCCACATCTAGGGATCATGGACTTAATGTGCCTGCCTTCTTTGAGAGACAGAAAAAAATCAAGTGGGTTAATTCTGATAATTATCTGGGGAAGTATAATAGTGAAGCCAATACAGCAACTGCAAGGGACTCAACTGGTCTCCTGAGGAGGAAGAAAACTGTTAGGGAAAGATTCATCGGAGATTAAATAACATCCTATATACTGTAATGAAGGCCTGAGGAAATGCAGATACCTGTGGTTAAAGAAAATCACAGTTCCTATACAAGCAGCACAATTGTGGGCGTAGGGGACCTTCTTGCTTCATTATTCTGAGGAATAGCATTATCGGGGAATTGCAAAGATTTGAGCTTCAAAATCAATATGTGCTGAGAATTACACGGCAGGAAAGCCAAGAACTGTAATACTTTGAACACTGTTTTTATAGTCAATTTTTAAAAAGTCCATGAATTCAAATTCAAGGACATATTTTGAGCACTGGCTCTTGTTAGCTGATACAGTCATGTGCTTTTTTTCTTTTAGAAGCATTTAATGATTATATACTGTTTGTTAAGCACTGTTCTGATTCTTGGTAGATTCACTGCTATAGATTCTATCCCTCAACAGAATATGCAGTTCTATGAATTAGAGTAATTCTAGCCATGCTTATCAAAAAATGGATAATCATTCAGACACAATTGGAGTTAATTTTTTGCTCATACAACAGTGCAGGGTAGGTGAGCCAGCTGATAAGCATCTTTTTTTTTTCCAGGCAACCATTCAGGAGCAAAGGCTGACAGAGGCTCTGCCATCTTCTACAGGTAGCTTCCAGAGTCTCCTTGGTGCTGAGTTCTAGAAGGGAGAAGAGGAATAGGAGAGTGTTCATGGGTGGTCTTTTGGGACTAGTTCCACTTCTGTTACCTGGACTGGAGCCAGTTCCAAGGCTTCACTGTATGGCAAGGGAGGCTGGGAAATCTATTAAAGCTGTACCCCTCCCCCAGAGGGAAGGCCCTTTACCTGCAGGCTTGGAGAACATCGTATGGTCTCAGCCTCAGCAATCCACTGCAAAAGATGAGCGAAGTTCAAAATTCATGTCAATATAAGAGAAAGGAACTTTGTGTAAGTGAAAGACTACTATATGATAAGCTGCTTGCTTTATACATCCATGTAAATTGTAGCATTTTGTCCTGCAAATAATTTTATGAGCTACTTGCTATTTAACCCCCCCCCACACACACACCCCATTTTACAAAAGAGGAAATAAGGCTCAGAGCATTTTAGATCAATCAGTGCAGATGAGATTTATTTGAAACCACTGATGGCAAGTGAAGGGAAAGTTTGATGCAGTCCCTGTTTCCTGATTTGGAGGTAATTAATATTTGCAGGGGAATTTTCAAGTAGAGAAATATTGGTCAGCAATAGCAGCTGATAGCATCTTGCGCTTCTCAAGGCAGAGTTCTTACATCTGATCTCCAAGCTGGAGATCACCAATCCCTGTTCTTTGCTCCTTTATCACGTTTTTGGTGGGATGTGTGATATGTGAATCCCCAGTAAATAGCTGGTGATGCTTAACTCCAAGGCATGGAGCAGAAACTCTTTGCTCAGTTATTTCTTTGCTCAGCTGTCTTTCCTTCATCAGTTCATCAATTCCTTGTTCATTCTTTCTCTCATCAATTGTGCCTAATATGTATTGTGCCTCTTGAATGTGCCTAGCACTATAGTAAGTGATTGGAGTGCAATGACAAAAAAAATATGGCATTTTAGCTTTGGAGAGCTCACTGTTCAGAGTATCAAACATGGAAAAAGATAATGGAGATGTCCCATGACTCTAAAAAGGATGTGGGACAGAAGATACAATTGAACTAAGTAATGGGAGAGCCAATTCCGCTAGAGAGCAGTCCAAGAGAGAAAGTGTGGAAAGAGAATAGATAGGCTTTGGGAAATGAAAAGTTCTCCCATATTAAAGAAACAGCAGGCAGAATATTCCAGGGAGAGGAAATAGCATGGATAAAGAAAAAGAGAAATTTAAAAGTAGAGTATATTCAAGAATTAGAATAACAGCATAAAAGGCCACCTGGAAGGTGAGCAACAGCAGGAGGTGAGGCTTAAGAATGGCAGATCCCAGAGGCTGATTCTTTTCCTATGCCTCCATGATAGCTAGGGTTCCTGTGCCTAAACAGCCTGTGCTGTGGGGAGGAGGGACACCAACGCTGCTTAGGTCATGTGATAGGCAGTGCCGGCACCCATCTGCCCCAGTGGACTTCTCTGAGGACCCAAGGGAGGGAGGAAGCCAGTTAAGGACTGAACTCCCAGCACATTAAAACCTGCTGTTCCAGCAAGCCTGAAGCTTACAATGGGAGTCCTAGTGGTAGGAAAGTAAACAGACGCTGATGAACAGGAGACTGGGGACGGCCCTGGGGGATCAGTCATTGCTTTCACTGCCAGCATGGGTGCTCTTTTGCCTACACACACACACCTCTTAGTTGTTGGCGATTTACCGGATGTTTAGTAATTGCTTAGCTTAGTAAGGAGAAGAAAGAAATGTAGAGTCGGAGGGCAAGACATGCAGGTTTGTCCCTAGTCTTCTATGGAGATTTTTAAGAACATCTCAGCTGCTTTTTAAAAATTATTCACATTAATTTCAGGGACCACTGAGAATGATACCAAGTAAGATAGCCCTTAAAAGTGATTAAAATAAAAATAGTGATAGTAAACATGTAAGTATCAATGGGTCCTGGATGATCAGTCATCTTTTCCATTGTCAGAGTTAGTCAGGGACAACCTCAGACCACCCACTTGAGGAGTCTAGAACAGCTGTCATTAACTTATTTCAACAAATCCCTACTGAGTACTTACTAAGTACAGGAAGCATGCTGCCTGAATAACAGTGATCAAAGGATGCTGATTTAAAATTGCCCTCTTTGAAAATTTTCCAGTTGGTTTATTGTGTTTAGAATCATGACTCTAGTGAATGACAAATGGAGGCTGTCTGAAAACATAGTCCTGTTTAAATGTGTTTTTGCAATGCTTAGAGAAGGGGTTTGGGCTCTTTTATAAGAAAAAAAAATAAATGCATGTCTGAAAGTTTGAAGAATGGTCAACAGATTGTGATCTTTAGTATTCACCGGTTAATAGTAGCATTCTTAATAGTAAGTGACTTCAGAAAATGTTAAGAGTTGGGGGAAAACCTCAGCTACAGAGGAACATGTACACAGGGCTCAGTCACCGCAGATTATACCAGGGCTCGACTGCACTGCTGCGCTGTGGGTTTCCGCCTCTGTTTCTGCTGCTTCTGAGAAGTGAAAACAGGGAAATCAGAAGGGCTAGTGGGTTCTGAGGAAGCAGCCTTAGAAATGCAGATGCCCTGCATTCTCTAGACCCGCTCCCCAGTGAGCTGGAACACTGTCCCTTCTGAGGAGTCTTGGCTTCTTTTCCTCTTTGTCCAAGGAAAGACCTTTTTGACCCCTTAGCCCAGAGCCCGGAGATTAAAGGTGGCAGAAAAGCACCTGCAAATGGTTTTGTCACTAATAGTCCCAGAATCCCCCAAGAGGAGAAATTGTAAAGACACTTTGAGCTTTTAGAAAATGTTCAGAGTATGATGAAGGCTGCTTTTTGCTAGTACATTGAAGTTGGCTTATAAAATGCGCTATGCTCCTCCCTTAACCCATTTCAACCAGAAGCTAATGTATCAATATTTACTTGTGCTCTCTTTTCATATATGGCACCTAGAAAAAGATAAACTCCCTTAACATAAAGTCATATGGTTGTCAAGACTCACTCTGACTCTTCTATGAGCTGTTCTGTGACTTGCTGTAAGACTGAGAGGAGAATAGAAGAATTTACCTGACTGTGACTAATGACACTAATAAGGAACTCCTGGAACTCTTGGAACGCTTTCAAACTTGGGCTTTCCTTCAGCTGGCATCAGAATGCAAAAGGAGATTGATATGGGAGGGTGAACCTAGCCAGAGAACTTGTAAGCAATGGGTGTGTGAAGCCCAGGGCTACAGCAATAAGCTGCATGGCATCCCTTCCATGAGACATCCAGCTAAGAGCTTACAGAAAGGTAAGAACTTCACCCACAGGGCCAAACTGGGCAAGTTCTGGACTCGGAAGAGCCAGTGTCCATTGTGGCGAGTGGCTTTCTCACTCTAAACAAGGAAGCGAAGCGTGTGCACCTGTAAGCAAGGTGGAGGTATACTCATATGCACTGTACAAGTACACAGCAGAGCACCAACTCACCACCTGCATTCCAGACCCTCCTCTGGTCCTGGAAGATGGTGTGTCTATGGCAACATGACCAATTCCAGCTGCTGCTTGCTACCATAGTGAGGCTAGTGGTACATCTACTGCTCTGGTTGGCAGGCGTGGACTTGATAGATGGAAATCTGGGAGTTCGTACCAAGGCCGTAATGTGTCAGAGAGGGAAGGACCATGTTGACAAAGGTCATAACACATACTTCAGCAGGGCCTTTCTCAGGTCTTCATCGCTGTTCTTCTGTATTCCCCCAGTTACACTCGGTGTTTTTTTGTCTCTCTTTTGGCTGTTGGTGCAGCAGAGATTAGAAATGATTGGTATTTAATAAGAAAAATAAAACAGCTAAACTTGATAATTCATTGCACGTTCACTGAGTACCTAACCTATGCTAGATACCTTGCTAAATGCAGGAGATACTACAAAGAATAAGACAGTCTCTGCCAGATTTCTGCATCCTACCCCTAGTTTTCCTTTTTAGCATATCTACCCTGCTGGTAGATGCATTTATGCTATAGATATGTACTGCTGTCCATTATTTTATATAACCAGATATATGTAGATAGAGAACTCCTACCAGTGAATGCAAGAGGGGAGAGGTCTGCATTTGTCTTAAGTAGGGTCCTTCTCAGAAGGAGAGTAAATCCCAGAGGGAAGGGTGATATAATTAACCAAGCATTGATAGTAAGGGTGTTCCTTGTGGTTTAATCACATAAGTTGAATCTGCATTAGTAAGCTCAGTTTAATGACTAAAATTTTAATTTCCATGGTAGTATCGTATCCATCCTTCATCTTCAAGCCCAGCCTCCTGAGCTCATTCTAGCCCATGTTCATCATTCTTATGTTTCACTCATTAAACCTTAAAAGTAGAGGCAGGATTGTGTCAAAGAAGCAAGAGTGGGCATGCAATCAGAAGACCTAAGTTTGAGTTCGGGTGCCTCCAGGTATCTGTGATGTTGGTCAAGTTAATGTTACCCCAGCCTCACTTGTCCTCCTGTATAATGCAATGCAATAAGGATGGCTTTTCAGATTGCTGTGTGTAATTAATTATATGTGTGAAAACTCCTAAATACTAAAACTATTTATTTCTAAATCCTTAGATGGATGAATATATGCATTAAAGCCATTATTTAATGGATCTGTTTTATTTAAGTATAGTTTGTTTTTTAAGTGCACTATGTTTTCTTAAATTTCAATTTTGTTTTTAAATATTCTGGTTTCCTAACAGATTCTCAAATCCTTAGGGTGGTACTTTCTTCTTATATTCATTTTGGCCTCTTCTTTTTCACCTGAGCCAGGGTTTATCTTGGTCCTAGGGAGTTTACTGAATGCTCAGAAAATACTAGTATATTGTTCCTCACTTCTTTTCTGTCACTGATTAATAAATACTTGTCATCAGCATGTATAAAGAGATTCCTTTGAAGCTTAATGTAGCTAGAGGGGATCATGTGCTCTGCACAAATAAAATCTAAAAATATAGTTACAGTTCAAGTCAAGATAATCAGGTCAAGAGAAAAATAAGATTCTCAAACATAAAGGCTATTTCCTTTTTCATCTATGAATTCCCAATGGAGGGAACTGTCTACATCAAGGCTTGTTCAAAGTTGGTGGGTTGGTTGCATGGATAAATTAATTGCTTAACTGACAAATGGTCAGATGGGAAGTAAAAGTCTTTGAGAATCAACAGGCAGAGGATTTGTTAGTGGAGTGGAATATTTTGAATTTTTTCTTAAAGCGAACCTAATTAATTGGCTTGAGTTCTTTCATTTATGTAATAGACCTGTGATCAGGTACTATTGGCCAGGCCACAATCTAGGCACTGGGGATATTCAGTAAATGAGAGTGACATCTCTCTTTCCTTGGTGAAACATCCAGACGAGTGGGAAGATGGACATGGAAGAGGAAAGCACTGTGATAACAAGATTATTGTGTACAGCAGTGAGTGCTGAGGGGAAAGTCAGATAGCAGTGTGACAGAGGATGACTCTTGCAGATGGAATGAATCCTGTAGATGGGAGAGACCCACAGGGATTTCTGGGGAGCTGACCCCTGGATGGAGGCTTGCCCGACAAGCTTGATAGCCTGGTGAGAGTCCATGTGGACCGAAAGACTGCCTGGTGCTAACAGGTTGAAAGCACCGTGAGCTGGGTCGGGGAGCTCCAGCAGGGAAAGAAACGGCATGTCTGGGGCTTTGGCAAATGCCGCCATTTCCAATATTTAGGGACTCGCCTCCACAGCTGAGAAGACTGTTGCAAGATGCATGGACGTGTGAGAGTGGCACTCTCCTTCTGCCTCCTAGCCTAAGACTTCAGGGCCATTCCTGACCATTGTGTGTGGAGCGTTGTTCCGATGTATTTCTCTTTCTCTTTCTCTTTTTTTTTTTTTGTGCAATTACTTAAATTCTTTTATTGGTACATTGTAGGTATACAACACAATTACATTTCTCATTGGGAA